GTAATTATTTCTCCCAGCAGTTATAATACCTACAGCTTTCCTGCCATCCAGGACTGGGCTCTTTGAAACTCAAGAAGATAATTCCAATCCTTCATCTTCTTCAAAAGAGCAGGCTGTCAGGGAAGAGCTGGACTGTCAGCGAGGGAAAGCAAACAAGCTGAAAGAAGAGGGACAAACGAGACAGAGAGAGTTTTAGAGAGATGGATGGTTTGAAAAATAAAGGGCAAGTAACTTCTCTGAGGGCCCAGTGCTCACATATGGCTAGGCTTTGCTTGTATAGCCTCACTTCAAGGCGAAGGGCCCTGCAAACATAAACAGTAGAGAGTCTGCAGCTGGAGCGGGGAGGCAGCCGCTTGCTCACCGAGACCTCTCTACACTAAACAATGGATCAAGTGACGCACAGGCCTTTGGCAGTGCAACAGAGACCCGGGCTGCTTAGAAAAGCCTTTCTTCCGTGCGTTTATATCTCTACTCTCTCAATATTTACCCCATGGGAAAACACACAATTTTCCATTCCTTTTGTTCTGAAAGCAGCAAAAAGAGTAGCCCTCCCATTTCCATCTCTCCCACCTTCAACACAGGGCAGGGTCAGAAAGGATAAGTGTCCTTTTTGTGCAAATCTTTAAAAATATTATACAATTCTTGACAACAGTAGAACCCCAGCTAAAGAATTTAATAACTAAATTATTGCAACAGCTCGATAAAGGTGCTAGGAATGAAAAGATTAAAGCTTAAAGCTTAGATTTGCACTGAATCTCCTACACTGATATTCCCACACATGGCCTATTTCCAGCCGTGATGAGGAGAAGCAAACAAAATGCGGATTAGTCTCCCTTACTGTGTGAGTCACTGCATTAGAAACTTAGTTTGTACAAGTGTGTGCATATGTATCTGTGTGTGTCTGTGTGTGTGCATCTGTGTTATATCTCTTTTATGATGGGGCACAATGGGGAAAGGAAGGGCTTGGGAGCTAGTGAATTAACCCAAATTACAGCTAGCAGTTACCCAGACAACTGGATAGGAATGAGGGGCAAATGGTGTGTAATTTTGTAATGAAGGGGGAGTTCTTTTTCACATTTCGAGACCTCCTCTGCCTGTTACCGTAACAGGAGGACTCTGTATCCCTCCAAAACAGTTGTTGCCTGCTGAGTCACCTAAATGTGTGCTTTTTTTTTTTAAATAGGCCTTGGATAGAAGCTATTTATCTGTTTCCACGTTATTATCTATGATGGTCAGCTAAGTTTCTTTTACAATTTCTTAATGGTTACCTTTATTTTCAGCTTATTTTTTAAATAAGCTATAGTGTTGCATGAACTTTGACGAGAATTATATACTATGATTTCCTCTATGAGCTCGTAAAAAGCCCCAATAAGTAATTTTCTTAGCCAACCAACAAGTTAGTTTGTAGAGTTGTGATGTTTAGATGAGTTTTACTGAAATAGTGAGAAGTTTTTTGCATTTTTTCTCTTTTCTGACTCATTAAAAGTTGGTTAGAAAGGTTAAGTAGAAGTGCAAACATTAAAGATCTGGTAAAAGAGGGTAGGGTGTTTGCTCACTGCTCAAATGGGATTAATTTGCACCCACACAGTCCTAATAAGACAGATTAAAAAGATTTTTGAGCACAAAACCTTTAAGGCCACAGTGAAATGCAAGTTAAACCAAGGATGTGAGTGTTTTGCATGATCAGGAATTTTTTACGCTGTACAGGAAATAGTGGCTGGAGGGACTTAAGTAAGAAATTCTGACACCCACAAATGTTGTATGTGGCTTGGCACACACAGCATAACAAATGCAGGAACTAGCACCTACATACACACACCTTCCTTTCCCACAATATGAGGTCAGAAAACAGTGCTAGGAATAGATTAATTTAATCCAGTCTTAAGTAATGCATTTAGAGAATTTACTATAGCATTTATTGTTACAGTTGTCCATATTTGATATTTTGTCATGTTTATTGAAACAGGTGCACACATAAACAGAAAACCTGTGAATAAGGCAAAAACAGACTTTGTATAATTCTGTTTGTTCTGTTCTCTGCCAAGCTGTCGCCACACTGCTTCGGTGATGTTAAGGTCTGGGCTCTGGGTCCAGTCCATGACTGATCCTTTTGCATTGTGTTTTTTTTCTATCCAGTTATGCTTTTACCACACGGGCAGTGTGTTTCATCAGATGCTTTCTGGACAGTACTACATGGTGGATCAAAATCTGATGGTACTTTTCTGCATTTAGATTTCCATCAGTTCTGACAAGATCACCAACACTACTGGCTGAAGTGCAGCCCCATGACAGAGCCTGTGTCATGTTTTACTGTTGTACCTCTCTCCTGAGCTCCTCTGTGAATACTGACAATTTGAACCAAAAATGTCAAATTTGTATTAGTCACTCCATAAGATGTGTGTAGATACAAAACTGGTTCATCCTTTGAGTTTGGTACCTTTTTAATGCTTGAATGATTCTTATACCGACTTAAAAACCCAAGAACTGGACTGAAAATGAGTGTAAAAGCAGTCAATGTCCACATAAAAACTTCAGAAAGCTTTAAGAACTATTGCTCAAAGAACTATTTTGTACAGTACTGTAAATCAACATTTATCACATTCATACGCTGAAGACTTGGGATTACTTTTTTTCAACGTGTATGTTATTTTTTTTTTTAATTTCACAGTGTCTTTAAAACAACAGATGCAGTTCGTAGCGCAGATTCTTTTGGTTGCTTCGTTTTATGCATTTATACATGAGCTATTTCTTAATCTGTGACAGCCTGCAGATGTTCTTCACACACTGCAGAGTGAACCTATAGAAACCCGATCCAAAGATGACTGCAGGCTGAGGTCAGAGTGGGTGACAACACTCATTCACAGTTTTTTACAAATCAAATCAAACTAGGTGTGACAGTCTGACCTGTGAAAATAAACTTAGAGGTTCAGGGCCATCTCTTCGCTTGACTGTGCTGCATTTTACAGGCTTACAGACACTCAGGTTATTGTGGCAGGAAATATAAACAGACTTCTCAACCTTCCCTCGACACATAAAGACAAGAAACTAATGAGAGGACTGGAAAAACAGTCAGCCTCTTTGGTGGGATTTCTTGTAGCTCCATCTGTGGGAAACGGCCTCCCATGGCAAGTAATAAAATACAATAATCCAACTGATTTGAGACATTGTCAGTTATAAGTCATGGCAGCAGAAGCAGATCTTTGTTATAATAATGTAGTTAGTACTAAGGACATGAAAGCTTTGTTTGCCACCGAGCCATGCTAGCTGACATCCATTAGCCTGGAACCACTGCAAGCCAGTTAGTGAGCTTCACCATTGCCAGTAAACACAAAAAGATAAAAATGATAGGGATCTGCAAATCTCAGTTTTGGATGAATCAGAAACAAAGAGAGAAAAATGTTTTGGGGACTTGGAAGAGAAAAGGCTTTTGATTCATTAAACAGGTGTGACGGATGTGTTGCTTCTAATTTAGCAAACATAGCCATGATCTACCACCCAGACACACACACACACACACACACACAGACACACACACACACACACACACACACACCGACACAGACACACACACACACACACACACACACACACCTGCATGATTTGTTGAGGCACGTTCAGTGATGTTCCGCACTTTCTCATTTCTGCTACACAGAACACAACACTTAAACAGAGCAGCTTTCATTTACATCAACACAACAGCTGAAAGAGGTCAAACACAGCTGTGTGTAACAGAACAGTAATGTGCACTCCCAAACAAACAATTTGACCCTTTTTTTTTCATATTAAGACAAAGCTTAGAGTTTGATGAATTTGACAAATGCAACTACAACGAAAATTTTCAGATGATGGGTGAATGGAAGGGCATGAATACTACCTGCCATCACTCATCTCGCTGCTCCACTTAAGTCTTGAATTGCTTATTGTTATTACACTAATAGCACAGCAGCTCTCCCCTCTGAGGGGCACAACTCAGCAGACCCACAGAGCGCTCAGATTACAGTGCAGATGACTGCAGGGAAACATCACCATCTACATTATGTAATGTCCACTCTCTTGGGAGGTGTGAGGCAGCAATGGGTGTGGAGTGACACAGACCTAACAGCCATTAAGGAGTTTTAAGTGGTATTTCTGCACAGTCACCAACACTTATTGGGTGACAATTATGCTATCAGTCACACAAGCCTAGAAGCCAGTCGTTAACCCCTTAACAACCACTGGTTGGCAGAAAAAGAAAACGTGTAGTCCCAGATGCCAACCACCTACCAAATGAAAAGTTTAGTCATTTCACAGTTGCTGTATTTAGGAACAGCTGATCAGCCACTATACCTGTGTGATCGGCCTAAAGGGCTGACACTATACACTCCTGCCTATGCTAAGTCCAAACCATAACCATGTTTGATGAGATCTGAGTCAGCTTCGCCCTGAAGTTCCACTTTTTGTTTCTCTGTTGGAAACAGTCCAGTGTAATGGAAATTATCTGTTGTCATCACATGATACATATATACAACTTACCACTGTGACGACAAAGTATAGTGCTTAGCCAGTGTAGAAAAAAAGAAAAAAAAGAGAAGAGCAGGGAAACTATTTTCATAAAAGTATATGCACGTTCAACTAAATACTTTCAAGAGTGATTACACTGAAGTTTATTTTAGTAACATACAAGAGAATTCTCTTTTTTAAAAAGTAAAAATAAAAGACAATTTAAAAGATTCAATCATTTTAAACAAAAGAAAAGTACGAAAATTTGCAGACAAAGCTGCAAAACTGTTCACTAATACAAATTCAAATGCTATTTTTTCCACAGGAACTTGTCATTAGTTTTCCAGAGACTCTTGCTGTCCTTCTCCGCAGACACGGTTCTAGCTGCAAAGTTGGTGGTGATGCAAACTCTCTGCACTTCTTCTAAATCTGTTAATCTATTGATACTCTCCTCATTACCCTCATTCAGGATGTCCCAGAAGTCTTTGCGACTGCCCTTCGATGCCCGTGCTGTTGTTTCGACCTGGTGTGTAGTTTGGGTGTGTAAGGTTGCATCAGAGTGGGAAGTGAGTGCGGACGGTGAAGGCGTGGTAAGATTGGTGCTTACAGGTGCTACGGGTGGTGTTTTTGGGATGTGTTGAGTACTCTTGGGTTTGGGTTTTAGTAAGTCATCTAGGATCGAGGTGTCTCCTATCAGCTCTGTTAGGTAGGAGCGATTAGTGGAGATGGAAGGGGGCTGAGAATTTTCTCTCTGCTCCCTCTGCAAAGTTTCACTTATCCTCAAAGATGACTTCTGCTCCTGCTCTTTTCCTCGTGCTGTGGGTTTGGATACCATGGTGGAACTGCCATGGCTGAGGTCCGAAGAAGAAGGGGTATCTCTGTCTGTGCAGTTCAGGCGAGCAGAAGCCTCCCCAGACCCAAGACCACTGCTGCTGACTCGATCGCCGCCAAGACCACCACCAGCTATGTGGGCTCCAGAAGTAGAAACACTACCTCCCTTTGTCCGCTTGAGTCCTCTGGCACTGCAGTGCGTCTCGTCCTGCTCCTCTGACTCAGGACTTGGAACATCACTTAGAGGTTCCAGCACATTCCTTTGTGATATTCTTTGCTTTTTGCGAGGTTTTGGAGTATCGCCTTTTGAGTTTCTAGCCTTTTTTGGTGGCACAGGAGTTTTTTGCGATGTTTCAGGTTTAGTTCTGAAATTCTTTTGAGTGAATGTCAAATTTTTTGTGGCTTTTGAAGCATCCTTTTGTGGATTTTTGATCTCTGAGTTAGCAGCTAAGGGGGAGGCTTGTGCTGAAACAGGTTGTGGGAAGTTGTTTTTGACCGTATCAGCCAACTCAGGGAGGTTCAGTGAAGTGTAATACTGGTGAAGCAAGGCCAGCCTCTGGGTTGAATCTTTGCTCAGAATTTCAACAGCAAACTGGTGGACTGTGGGAAATTTGAATTTTTCTGCCATTTCCTCCAGCTGGTGCCTGCAAAAAAAGAAAGAAAAGAAAAGAAAAGGGGCGATAATGAAGGAAGAAAGTGCAAAAAAACCACATCTAAAAATAGAAAATTGTGTTAGATACTGAAGACGACAGGATATTTTAACAACTAATGGTTTCTCCTAACCTCTATTCACAAATGCACAGTAAGATCAAGGCTAGAATCTGGCATCTGTGACCATAAAATGCCTTAAAATCTCAAATAATACCTCTTCAAAAAGCCACAAGGCCTATACTATTAACCACATATTGAGTGAGGCCTAACTAATTATAAACATCCCATATTCATGCTCATATCCAGAAAGCAGTGCAGTGTGTAGTATTTTTCATTAGCTCCTAGGCACCTATTAAAACTCTGCTCTAACAATTATTGGGGACAGAAATACCTCCGTGGTGGTAAAGCAGAATTATAGTGGTGTTACTAGCATTTGTGGCTTTTACTGAAAAAACAAAACAAAACAATAAAAGTAGGAGCAGTATAACCTGATGCGCATGTGGATTTTAATCATTAAACACCAAGGTTAACTGAGGCGATAGCAATATAAGTAGTGTGTATTTGCTTCCTTGTGAGCCTCCAGGCAGGGATACAGCCCTCGGGGAGTGAGACTGGAGCCACGAACAGTGTCTGTGTGTCTGCGTTTGAGTATTTAGAAAGGGGTGGGGGTGATGCAGCAGAACAGAATCGTGTATTTGAATGCTCTGCATGTGAACGTGTGCTAATACTTGTTAGGATATGTGTGTGTACGTATCAGAGTGAGTTTGGAAGTCCTAAGGCGATCATTTTGGTTAGTCCCAGGAGGGCTGCGGTTGTGAAGGGGAAAACTCCTGCACTGTTGGGAATGGTCATAACTGGGTAATCTTTGGCACGATGCTGGGAAATAGGTGGAAGGAAAAGCTCAGAGGTGGTCCCTCACTAAATACACATACACAATTACTGAGGCCCAGGTGGGGCACTCAACACTGTATCTCCGGTAGGTTTTGGCCTCATTCCTCACTGCTAGAAATTGCTCTTTCTTTTCCTTTCCTCCCCATTACTCCTCTAGCCAACCTTCCTCTCACTTATTATCCTACTTTTTTCCTCCCATATCAGAATTTATTTTACTCTTCTGTTGCAGTTTTTCCCCTACACCTTCATCACCTCTCCCTCTTTTACCCCCCGACCTCTCTTATCATCATGTGATTTTTCTGCCTTAAAATAAGTTAAACTCTTTTACAATTCACTACCTGCGTATGGCTTTGGGAGTCTCGCCAAAGATGAAGGTGTTGTGTTTGGTGTGATGCACACTCTTGGTGGTAAAGGTGACTGGATGATCCAAACTGAGCTCTTGCAGCCTCATAGTGGAATGACACGGCTCACTGTCTGGCAAGCTCTCCGCCAAGCTCTGGCACAATCAAACAAGAGTAAAGTTTCAGAGAAATATTGATCCACTCTCTGTCAAGTTACCTAACAACAACATAGTTTATAGTCATTACCGGTGGACCAGATTTGCAGGCATGAAAGAGCATGTAAAAAATGAAGTACTGTGCTGCAATTAATGGACAGTCTTAAGTCACTGGTCCTAAAAGTCCTATAATTACGCTAAATCGTAATGAACAGCATTTATTTACCCCATAGTTCTACTCTTTTTAAAATTAATTTCACTGATCAACTCGGTTTCAAATCAGCACAAACTGCCCAACAGTAATCTACAAGTACCACTCCCATGTAACAGAAAAAAAATGTGTTTTATAAACTGGGTGAAATGATCCTTTAACTTGCCATCAACACAGGGTTAAAGGTATGACGCTTGACTGAGGGCTCTATATCATACTATGTGAAGAATCAATGGACCAGATCAGTGTTTGACCTCTTGTTTGTACCTCTTGGGTTCCTAGAAGGTGATTGGCCGGGAGCTGCGAGTACATTTTGCGTTCAAACACGTCCCGTACAGCAGCTCGACTGATTAGCTCTTCTGCTTTGCTGCCACCCACAATGCGCTGGTTAGAGTGGGTGTACACCACCTCCTGTACACCTCCTTGAAATGAAAAAAAAAGTCCATCAGAATTGGTACAATTTTGTTATTAAAAGTGTTTAAAGTAGCACTGGAACTAACCTAGCATGCAGTCAATAGTTCCATTCTTTTCTTTAGATGCCAGGGTTGTCTGACTTTTCAAAGTTGTAAATGAAACAGCCTTCGGCATCAAAGCTTCCTTCTCTGTTGTGCCCGTCACAGGTCTTTGCCCAAGTTTTTGCAATTTAACTCTGGATCTCTCCATGTGTGGACTTACATGTTCCTCCTCTGAAGATGAGAATGTCTCTATATCTTCTGTGTATTTTGATCTTCTTTTATCCCTTTCACTTGCACTTTGCCTCCTTTTACTGCAGTCTGTCCTTCCTCCCCCCTTCTCTGCTCCATCATGTAAATATAAAGTATCCTTTTTGGACCACGACTTTGCCTCTAAGTCGAAGTCTTCAGATTCATCTGAGTAACCACCAAACTTGTGTTTTTGGCGAAATGTAGTTTTGAGTTTATTAACTTTATTTTTTTCTACTTTAGAGTTTTTATTGCCATCTTCATCCACAGTAATTATTTCACGTATCTGCCGTTTCAGACCCGTGTCACCGTCTTGTCTCCCATTATCTCCATTATCTCTTAATTTTCTGTCTGAATTGCAGGATGTGTCCCTGGTTTCTGTTCCCAAATGGACACCGACATTTCCTGTGATGGAGGTCGACTTGTCTTCCCTTTTTTCCTCCTCAGGATCTTCCTCAAAGCAGCTTCCTTCACCTTCTGGACTCGTTTGTCCTTCTAGCGCTGGTGCTTCTTTGACTCTTTCAAAGAGTTTGGAGAAACCATGCTGTTGGAGACTCATTCGACTAGGACCTGTTGTAGCACTCCTGCTCCTATTGCAATCATCTGTACTGAGGTTTGAGGCCTTTCTCTTGACCCCCTGCTCCCTCTCATCCTCTTCACTGCTGAAGTCCAGCACCCCTGTGGAGACTTTTGATGCATCGCTGTTCTCCTTCACTGGTTTATCATTTGGTACATGGACTTTTGTAGGTGAAGAACCTCCAGCTTGCTAAAACAGGAGACACAAGGTAGAAACAGACTGAGAAAGAAAGGACAAGCAGGGCAGGCAATACATTTCTCTTATTAGTTGCATCTTGTTGTAAGTGAACTGTAGCTTTAGCTCAAAAATCCACCTGTATCACCACTGAGTGACCCAATCAGGCAATCTTTCAAGTGATACAAAGCTATTTGTTAACTTTCAATAATGTGGTTTAAAGCTTCTATAATGATAAAAAGAAAAGGGTCATAACGTGTTCCAGTGTTACATGAATGAGTCTCTGGCTGCCCCCCAACTGATTCTAATTTCAATTTCATGAACTAGGTGACCCAGGTTAGCTCATATTTTTGCAGGTATCCAGGTTCTTCGAGTATGTCTGAATTCACTATAGTGTTTCAGGGTTTTCGTTATTTGTTTTTGGATTTTTTTGCAAGGAAAAAGCTGCTCTGACTGTTCTCAGTGGAGTAGTAAAAAGGACAGCATAGTGCACACTGCAGGCCTGGCTGGGAAAAGGATGATAAGGGGTACCACTGTATAAATAAATAGCTGAAAAGTGGAAGACAGACTTCATTGTGGTATGTGCCTTACATTAGAGCAAACAAGTAATGGCACCCAGCTGTTCATATGTGGTGGTGACACAACAAGAGCCTTATGCTTCAGTTTCACTAATAGAATAAAATGTTATCTGTTATCTTCCATAGCGTACTCCAGAGTCTACTGCACTTGATGTGCTTGCAAGTATTAATAGTAATTAATTGGAAGTGTGCAGTACAAGTTGGTCACTTTCACTCTCTCAGAACAGCAGCTGAGATCTGCTTAATGAGACTGTGTGGCTGGTAGACTGACGGACAGCAGGGTTCACGTGGGAATGGGAAGACAAGCGGTCTGCTTGGAAAAAATGACAGAGTCAGGGATGTTCTGAGTTTCTGAGAAGAGAAGACTACTCACGCCAGCTCCCTTTGTCTCCTCCTCCGTGTCTTTGCCTGTGTGTGTACTCATCATAACACCAGCCTCCACTTGCCCTTCTCTCTGAGAGGAATTCATCAAAACAAACATTTCAGTGAACAGCATCAACTCAGTTCTGTCACAACCATCAGCACAACAATATCTTTCACTTTTGGTATTTAGTATAACACTGTGAGAGACAGGTTAGGTCTTCTGCAGGATACCATTTTTATAACTGTACGTTTAAACATATCTTTAATTTGAAATGTAAAGGGAAATCCTATTTGGGCAATATCCTGCTTTTTAAAAACACAACAAGCAACCTAGAGTACTGTGACACTGTTGTATGTATAAATCAAGATTTCTGAATCCTGCTAACCACCCTTGCGGACGCAGCTACAGCCAATTATTTTAACAACACCTGAATTCAAAGATTAAGAGATGTAGTGCATTTATTATGTAGATGGAAATATGTACACCCAGTTTTCTCTGTGCTCTGAGATGATGAAACCAGGACAGTCATACCTACCTAGTGTAGTTTAAGTCTTGATATTGAGTCGAAAATCAAAGCAAGTGTTAAATGCCTCCAAAGGCCCAAGACAAGAAACAGTAAAAGTCATTTTGGTTTGTGAAACCCTGAATTGCGACTGTGGAAATAAATCAGTGGGATGATGTGAGTCCAGGCGGGCAGCAGCACACACAGTCAAACAGTAAAAGGTCTGTCGGCTATCTAACCTCTAAAATCTTGCGGGTGAGACAGGTCCCTTGAGTTTGCAGCCTAAATAGGTTTTTGATCCCAAACAGTTCATCCTTATGGTCACCATGCCCCCGCACTGCTTCGAAATACCGCCGGGAGCTCTCTTTGCCAACTACAGAGGAGTGCAATTGCTGGAAAATGGGAGAGAATGTGGAAATGCAGCATCTAATTTATATACTATAGCTTCATCTGTATATACAGTATTTAAATTGCAGATTACATTATGTCTATGAGTTTACAGTAGTCTGGTACCTGTTTGTAAATTTGTCGTAGGTATATGACCTCTTCCACAGTCCCCAGTGAGATCAGCCTAAGAACAGTCACATCCCTGCATTGGCCAATGCGATACGCCCTGAGGAGATGTATAAAAAGTATGATGCTTTTCAACAGCACAAAGTGGCGCAATAACACCAAACATTCCTGCCTTGACTTTGGATGCACTATGCAACAGTTAGGAATTACCAGAATATTGTTAGGTTAGCTAAAGAGCTGCAGCAAAACACTACTATGAAATAATATCTAGTCAGGTGGCAGCCTACCTGTCAATAGCCTGAAGGTCATTGGCTGGGTTCCAGGTGGGGTCAAACAGCACCACAACATTAGCACCAACAAAGTTAAGACCAAGACCACCTGCCCTAATAGAAAATACACATATTAGTAGGTTTCAATACCAAATACTACCTAGGATAAAATTAATTGCTACAAGTGTTGGTATTTCCAACTGACATGGTGGAAACCAGGCAGAGGTTGATGTGAGAGGAGCTGTTAAAATCTCTGACGATCTGGACTCGCTCTTTGGATTTGGTGGATCCGTCCAGTCTGCTGAAGTCCAGGCCCACAGCCATGCAGTAGCTCTCCATCACATCTAATAGCTAAAAGATTCAATACACAATAAATGACCATTTAGGAGTTTATTAATCAGTAGATTTGTATAAAAAAATGGATCCTACACGTGTAAACTGAAGCAGCATATCTAAAAATATCTGCTGGACTTCAGTCTTTACAACTTATACTTACAGATCTACAGTGAGGCTAAACACTGAGCACTACACTGGCCTGTATGGACACCATGATTAGCATTAAAGTAAAACCAAGGTCATGAAAATATGACTTCATATCATGCTTCCTCCCTTCTGCACACTCTGCCTGCATCCCACGCCCACATCAAAAATTAAGTACTTTCAGTTATGATGTGAAGACTGAGAAAAAGAAACTTAGGCTCAAGGTTATAACTAACTAAAACTAATATAACACCTAAAAGTGAGTGTGAAAGTGCTGTAAAATTAAATGAAAACAAAACCTAACTGAGATAACACAACAATACTTAACATAAAAATATTACTTTTAGACTTAAGCCTATGTGACCGTGTATTATCAGACTGCTCTGCACTTTAATCTCACCTACACGATAATGACAACAAATCTAAAACTATTAAAAATTTAACGAGTAAACCCACTCTGAAACTAATTCCAGAATTATAGCAGACGCAGTAGCATTTCAACAGAACCTCACAAAGACACCTGATGTGTTCCTGGAGAGAGTGAAATTAAACTGAACAGAAAGCAAAAACTATAATAACTGCTGATTGATATACCTGAAGCTTAAATGAGCTATACTGTATCAGGTGACTACAACCATTAGACTGCACTCTCAGTCTAATTGTCTTCACCACAAACTTATAAATAAACATGATGTAATGAGAAAACCACGTCCTCTAGACCTTTTTTTCCTATAAGCAATTCATCTAACAGAAGACGCGATTAGCAAGGTTCAGGCTGCTCCTTTGTTCAATTTTATTTTATTGGCATAGCACCAATTCACAACAACAGTTGCCTCAAAGTACTTTGTATTGTAAGGTAAAGACCCTACAATATTAGAAAAACAATTGTATAACCCCCTATAAGCAAGCACTTTGCAACAGTGGGAAGGAAAAACTCCCTGTTAACGGAAAGATTTAGAACTGGTTTCTCAGGATCACTCTGAGACAGGATGATATTTTGCAAATGAAGGAATGCAGTCCTACACATGTGTTTAATATGCATACAGAAGGACATATCCTGGTCACAAAGAACTCCAATACTCCTCATAGTGTTACTTAAGGTCAAGTTAATGCCATCCAGAGTATCAGGTTAGACACCATGTTTCCAAGATTTTTAGGATCAAGTACAAAAACTTCAGTTTGGGATGATTTAGAAATAGTAAATTAGAGGTAATCCAGGTCTTTAAGAAATGCCAGTAATTTAACTGGTAGATTTGTATCATCTGGCTTGATGAAAAAAATAATGCTGGGTATCATCTGCATAGCAATGAAACTGCACAGAGTGCTTTTTAATAACACTGCCTAAGGGAAATGACTCCCTATTTAAATGAACAAATTGGAATCTATCAAAATAGATACGACTCAGTATTTAATTCACTCATTGCACAACATATAAACCTGCAATCACACAGCCAAAGTCACAGAAAGAAAAAATGCAAACGCAGCTCTCACCTTGGTTGAGAGAGAAAAAATAAGCACTTTATCTCTCTTTTGTAGATAAAATTTGAGAAGCTTCTGCAGCACCTAAAAGAAAGCATAAACCTGTTAACCCCCTTTAGAAACTGGCAGTGAAGGGCTCACGCAGCTGTTTTCGTGCTTTACCTTCATTTTTCCACTGTACATTGGGTCTGACAAGGCTTCAAATGCTTCATTTTTGCATCTATGCACAAATTCTGGAAACTTCTGGAATACCTTTGCACAAACAGCACTCACATACTTTTCCTAAAAATAAGTGGGAAAGTCATTTTAATGAACAAGATCTTGGGAGAATCGATCCAGAATCATGTGCAAAGCAACACAACTCTACCTGTTTCTTGCTGGTGCCTGGAGTAGACTGAAGGAGTGCTACATGGTTCGCAACTTTTCTCAATATGGCCAGGTAACTAAAGTACAGCTCCTTCATATGAACACCATCAGAGTTTGTCTATGATAGAAGGAAAATATTATTTAATGTAAGAGACAAAGCATCTTCTTGTTGATTTTTATACATGTGATTTTTATGCAAAAGCATAAAGTTTCCTTTCTGTTTTAATGGGATCTATTACTTAGTGTATTCTAGCAGACTATAATGAACTTTAAAACAGTTACTTAATGAAAAAAAAGATTAGGCACCTTCACAAAGACAATTTATATGAACTGCAGTTAAAATACATTGTGATATTTTGATGTGATACTTTAAAGTGGGTAAAATAAAATGTAAACAAACAAACAAAATATCCAATAAAAGTGATTTTGGTCTCAACATATAGAATCAAGTTGTGCTTCGTAAATTGCAGGGACACACGATAGCAGAAGAGAAAAACTAACTTTATAGCAGCAGCTTCTGCGGGTGCGTCTGCTGTGACAGTCACATTTTTCTGATGACCTTAGGAGTAATGTCACATCTTCACTGCCGAGCACTGCCTGATACACTGTCTGCTGAAACTCTGTCATAGAGCAATATACCACCTTCGATGAAACAACACATACATACATATACAGAAGGGAATTAAGTCAAATAAATCTGATTGAATTTAAAAAAAATGTAATTATGAAAATGATAAAAGGACAGTAAGTGATAAAAGTGTTGGTCAGTCTGATGTCTAGTCTTACCCGGTCGTCCTTCTTGGGCAGCTGTTCTTTGATAAGAGCTTTAGTCCTTCTGAAGAACCAATGAGAAATCTTCCTCACCAGGGCTCTGACGGCCTTCCTCCCTGTAGCGAGAGCGCGTTTGGTTGCGCTGTGCCTCTGCCCTTGCTCAATTGGATCTGAAAATTTGTTCTTGAAGTGGCCTAAGCTACCAAGACAACCTGGTATAGCCCTGAAGAGAAAAGTAAACATAAATCTGAATCCCTGCATAGAAGTTAAATAAAAACATAATGCAATTCATTAAATTTAATTGAAAATGGGGCAAAGTCTACATATTAAAGTAAGATTTTTAACAGTAAGAATTAACGGTTCTTGTTAGTAAGACGGTAAAACCAGAGGCAAGCATTTGTGGAGGTGTGGGAGTGCATTAGTGCCCATCTCTGCACATTGATGGGACCATTGATGTTGAACAGTCACGGATGTTTTTCCGGGAAGGCTGAATTCAGGTGCTAAAATGGTCTAGTTAAAAATGCCTTCTTTAGGCTGCTCCTTTTAGGGGTCACCACAGTGGAGCATCTGACTACATCTCACGCTATAACTAGCATACTGCTCTCCAACACCAACCCTCTGCATGTCCTCCTTCACTTCGTCTATGAATCTTCTTTGTGGTCTTCTTTTCAACCTCCCACCTGGAAGGTCCACATTCAGCATCCTTTGACCAATATATACATTATCCCTGCTCTGGATGTTCAAAAAAATCTCAATCTTCCAACTTTGTCTCGAAACCGCTCAACCTAAGCTAAAATATCTTAACGTCTTCAGATTTGCCACCTCCAGCTGCACCTCCTGTGGGAATTAGTGGTGCTATCTCCAAATAATACAACACAGCAGGTCTTAAAACCATCTCATAAACCTTACTTTCACACTTACTGCAACATTTCGGGAACACATCACTCCGTACACTCATCTCCACTCTGCCAGCACTCACTTCTTCACTGTTATGCACTGTCCATTGCTTTGAATGGTTGATCCCAGGTATCTAAATTAATCCACGCCACTACTGCCGCTCCTTGCCTGTCTACCCTCACTACAGATTGCAATGCCATCTACAAATCTTATAGTCCACATAGACTTCTGCCTGACCTCATCTGTCAACCTGTCCATTACCATCACAAACAACAAAGAGCTCAGAGCTGATCCCTGATGTAATCCCACTTCCAGCTTGAACTCACATTTCACCAGGTTCTCGCTGTCCTCGTACATGTCCTGTACCAACCTCAGTTTTCTCTGCCACTCCTGATTTCCTCATGCAGTACCACAGTCCCTCTCTTGGCAGCCTATCATGGCCCATTAAAAACAAATTATGAAACAATAAAAACAACAGAGGAGGCCAAGAAATGTTGAGCAACTGAAATCCTACAGTGGTCAAACACTTGCTGAGGGCTGTAAAAAGAAAGGGTATAGTGAAATAGCCTCCCATATCCAAACATGTTCCCGACTTGCATTGCTTTATGCCTCTCACATTTTTTAAAAGACAAGTTGTGATATAAATTTTAAGGTTGTAATTTTAACCCACCAATCCATAACACACCACAGCTCCTCCAGGTTGTTCTGTAAAATAGTTCCAGTGAGACCAATTCTGACCTGATGGAAATACAAAGTTAGCATTAGAATCCTGACTCAAAGTTGAGCTTGCTAAAAGGTTAATAAATTAATGTGTACAGCCTCAAAGACAAAGTGCATCAACACTTTCCACTATCAGTTATTTGATACTGACTCATTAGTAGTCCATACTAAATACAAGAACTCTGAAATAACAACACAAGCTCTCTAACCTTACATCTTAGCTCCTTCATGGCCTGAGTGATCTGAGAGTCTGGATTTTTTATCTTGTGGGCCTCATCGACAACCACACCAGACCAGTCAATCCTGTAGGGAAAAGGCAAAGATATAATCTAGGGCATAAATAGATAAGGCAAATTTATTTACGGCACAAAATTGATCTAAAATGCAACTAAAGTGCCTTAAAAATAAATAAAAACTAAAATGAACAATTTCTTAAGGAGCCTAATTTATAAATAGTACTAAATGTACTATACATGTTTTTTAAGCGTGGGTCTTACTTATTAAACTGATCCAGGCAGAGACGAAGAGTTTCATAGGTAGTGAGGGCAATTTCAACTCGCCCTTTCTTAATGCGGGCCAACTCCTCCTCTTTCCTCAGTCCGTGGACCACCACACACTGGAAGTGACCCCATGTGTCCAGCTCATCTTTCCAGTTATAAAGCACTGACAGTGGGGCCACAATAAGGAACACCTTAAACAGAAATGTCACAGAAATGTCAAAATTGTGACTGTGATATTCCACTGCTGTCACTTGTTGCACTTTATCAAATACATAGTGTGTGTGTTTTTTTTTCTTGACAATTTTGTTAAAACACAGGTCACATTTTTATGTAAGCAAGCTTTAAAAAAAAAAAAACCTACTTTGCTGGGATTACTTTGCTCAGATGACTGCTGACTCTGCAGAAACTGGGGCCTGTTGTTTGCAATGTCCTCCCATGTGCCTGTTTTGTGCAATACAGCAGCCAGAAAACCAATGACCTAAGGTGAGATCCAACAGACGACAAGAATGAAAAGGAAAAGAGCCACAGGAAGCAAAATTAAAAACAAACACTGGCACTTTTAACAGTTCTCACAAAAAAAAATAACGTGCTTTGTACCTGTACAGTCTTTCCCAGGCCCATGTCATCTCCCAGGATGCAACCTCTGGAACGGATGTAGTTATTGTAAATGAACCTGATACCTTCCTGCTGGTAAGCTCTAAGGTATCTATTGATGGTATAGGGAACTCTGTCTTCATCAGCATCACTCAGCTCTAACGGGACACATAACTTGGGGTCTATCAGGCTGGTAGGAAACCAAGGTTTCTCATGCATGAAGTCCCTCAAACCAGGTCTCACAAGTTTTGAGACAGGTATGGCTTCCGCCTCTTGTTCGTCCTCTCCCACATCTTTATTAGTGTCTTTAAATATCACCCATGCTGTATCCTCATTAAGAGAGCTGGAGGTCAGTTTCTGGATAGTGGCTTCTCTCAGGACACCATGTCTTAGGTGTAGAGCCAGACAACTGTCACCTTCACGCCATTCTGCTGCAAAATCATTGTGACATTATATTTATTAATGATGTAGATGTATTAAAGAATTTCACATTAACTCCAGTCATTAAAATGACTGCAAATTTAAACTTGGGCAAATATAACACTAGCTATAACATATAACAATAATCTTCGCAAATACTCTTTAAGAAATTGGTCAAAAAAAGGAAAGAAACGTCTTTGCAGGAGGGGGTATTTACCACCAACTGCTAAAATATGGCTAATCACTAATTTGTGAATGTAAAAATGAACGTAAAAGCTACTTGATAGAAATATAAACGTTATCTACGGAGAAAACAGACAGAATAGGAAGAAAAACAGAACAAAAATACCTTTTCCAACTGCAGAAGTTGAAGCCATTAGGAGGAAACAGAGGCTGCACTCTCTGATCTTCTTCCGGTAGAGGAAAAGGCACTGTAGCTTGTTAGCCTGCTAGATTAGCTCAGCCATCATATACAAAAAAGGAAAACGGTTAAATGGAGACGAAAAACCAATCTGTGTGAGTCACGTGATTCCGAGTAAGTCGCTCATACTTTCTCCTCTTCCAAGCGTCCTTTATTTGGGGAAAAGGCACAACAGGCTCACAGCAGGATCAGCTCCACTGCAGGCTGCTCAGTGTTTATCTGTTTTCACAATCGATACCGCACTTTCGACAAATTTCACCGACGAATCTACATTTAATAAATGTAAATATAAAAATGTCGTTTGTGCAGCTTTGTTGATATGATTTAAATCATTTATTAAACATTGTCTGGTTTAATGATTCGATCGATTTCATCTCTTTAACTATGCGTCTCTCTTGTGTGGAAAGTGCTGCTGAGGTTTTAATGTGCTCTATTCACGAAAAAAATGATCAAATTTAAATATCAAAATGAGATAAAACATCTCAAATCTGATTTGGAGTTAACGAAATATAATATCAACTAACAATTAACTTCATATGACATAAACAATATACAGATCGGTCACATTTGTCTCACCCTCGTAGTTCCCCGGTTTTTGGAGGTACTCTGAGCATCTCAGTGATTTTTTTTTATTTATTCCTTTGCATTTTGCCAGGCTGACTCACATGTTGTGATCAGGGTTGATCACAATGTGTGAGTCTAAGGTGGAAGAGTAGATTGTCTACCTATCTGCCAATCAGAAGGTTGGCAGCTCAATCCCTGGTTCCCTCAGTCCATCCTGTGCACTGATGCTGAACCCAGAGTTGCCTCTGATGCATCTGTATGGTGTGTGAGTGAATGATACAGTAGATAAAAGTTCTGTATGGATATGTGTGTGATTGGGTGAATGAGACTTGAAGTTGTAGGTGCTCAAATTGATAACAAAGGTTTTATGTACAGTATGTACATCCTGCAAAGTGCAGAGGACTTTCATTTAAATGTTTAATCCAATATAGCAGGGGTGACAAACATAAGGCCAGCCGATCAGAATCAGTCTGTAAAGGATGCAATACAGCCCCCTGGATGGCGTTGGAAAATGTTAAGGAGGGCATAAATTTTGGACTTATTTTTTTTACTGTACTGATAAAGAACTTCCCCATGGCTATTTATACTACACCAAATTAATAAATAATAGTTAAATATTTAAAAAAAAAATAGAACAGTCTAATATAGAAATTTACAGTGAAACAATTACTTCTTTACACTGATGGAAAGGAGAGTTTCACTGGTCTGGACTTAAAGTAGGCTGTATGTAGCACATGATGTAAAATGAGTTTTACATCCCTGCATTACAGTATAGTGTGTTACCAGTGGTGTTGTTGGTGACTGTGGTCACGACTGCCATCAGATCATTAACAAACTCCTCCCATATAGTTTTGGGATGATCCTCGTCCTGTTATGATTATCCTCACCCTGTGAGGTAAGATCTTGCCTTAAGCTCCAGACGAGGGTGATTGATGATCATTTTACATTTCCTCCACCCCTGAATATTCACATCATCGGCTGTCATCTTCTCACCAAGCTTCTTGTTAATGGTCTTGTCATTCTACCTTTAAATACTCTAGGAACAACAGTTAAGCCTGCAGTCTGAGAGCTCTAATGGGGTGATAAAAGGTCATTAAGATAAGATGGGGCCTGATTATTTAAGATCTGTTATGTGAGGAGCAGGTTTTTTAAATTAGATTTAAAATTGGATTTAACAGGCAGCCAGTGAAGAGAAGTCAATATAGGAGAAATATGCTCTCTACTTCTAGTCCCTGTCAGTAGTCATGCTGCAGAGATTCTGGATAAGCTGGAGGCTTTTCTGGGGTTTTTTTTTTTAGTACATCTTGATAATAGTAAATTAGAATAGTCCAGTTTTTCAGTGTCACGCTGACGCAGGATGATTCGATATACAGGTTGAGACCAGGAGTATCTGTGATTGATTGATTGGCTGATTGCAATCATGGCACACAGCCAATCTGTGGGAACAATAATTCTGGCTGAGTTTTAGGGATGGGACTTATTTCCCTCAATGACATGCAAATCAGTTAGTAACTTTTATGTAAAGTGTTGTTTTTTTCTGGATTTTTAGTCTCCCTCCACTAAAATCAATCTTCTTCACTCACCTTTTCACTCACTGTGCATTTATACACCACTCTGAATTGAATCATTAGTTATTATTATTCATCATTGGCTTTCTTCCACAGCATGTCAGCATGCCTCTTCCCCATACCCCCAACAGGTTACAAAAGATGGAAGCCCTTTCCTGAGTCTGGTTCTGCCAGAGGTTTCTTCCTGTTAAAGGGAGTTTTTCCTTCCCACTGTCACTCTGTATTATTGTAGGGTCTTTACCTTACAATATAAATTTCCCCAAAGTAACTATTGTTGTGATTTAGTACCTTATAAAAAAACTGAATTGAATTGAATTGTCAGCATTTTTCACAAATCTGAAAAGTCCCAAAAATCTGCCAAGAAGCCAGAAGCATTTGAATTTTGAGTGTATGTTTAATTTAGCACTGAGTGTGTCTGCTAATAATGTGCTAATAATGTGAAATGCTGATTGCCTATGGGGCTAGTTGAAACTTTAACATTTAGATATCACTGGCAATGAAGACATTCTTAAAGAGGAAACAACAACATCGTCACATCAGCCAATATTTCCCATTAAATGCCAGAATACCACACAGAGTTGGTCTGTTGAAAAGTAAAACCAAGACAGATGTCTTGCCTGTTGTCTGGGGCTGATATGGTGGCAATCAGTAAGATCTCTTCAATGTTGTCTGTTGCTGTGCAGAACTGGCTTGTAAACATACACCAACATTATCTCAGTTCTTCATCCCCAATTTGATTTTCCCAAAACGTTGGCCATGCTGCTCCAGATGAGGCACGACTGGGTCTGCTTCTTGCCATGGTACACTGCTATACAAAAATGGAACTTTTTGTTCCTGCTTTCTCAACATTGGGAATTTATAGGGCAGCTGCTGCAGATGTTCTCATAAAGAAAGCCCAAACACTGATGTCAAACGGTTTACATACTACACTACATCTCACACATGCTTGTTCTCTCACTGAATCACAAGGAACCTTTTCTGGCCCCGTTAGAAATTCACGACTCAGACAGATAGAGTTGAGATAAATAGATCACTGGCTTCTGGCAAAACCTTCTCATTTTCAAAATTGACTAATTGATTTTTTTGAGATATTGTGCCAAGTGCTGGATTTTGATTTTTCATTTCTGAAATCAGTTGCTGGTTTTCAAACTTAGCTTCTTCTTGATCAAATTGGAGGAGAAAAAATATGTACCTTATTTTATCACTGCTCTTTTTTATGTTGGAAAAACTTGATAGAAAGCCAGAATATATAGCAGCCTTCTTGGGAACCTACTTGCCTTCAAGAAAGCCCATGTTGTCTCTACTTGCCTTTCAGCTTGATCCAGCTCTATAACCAGACACATTCTAACTATGTGTCCTGATTTCTGAACTGCCAAAGAAACATAAGATGGAAGTGGTCAGATCCAGCACTGAAATAAAAATAATAAAAATGTGAAAATAAATAGTGGCAAGTAAAACAGTGTGCATAGATTATTCATTCAGGTGTGCAGAGATATTAACTAATTGTAGCCACCCGTAAAAATGTATCTTTATCTGGTGCATAAATGTACATTTATCGGCTACTGTTGTACTATTTTGTGTCTATATCATCATGGAAAAAATGCAGCACCTAAAGTTGTGATTGTAAATCTCTCGTACATTATACATCACCCAATAAACCAAACAATAGTAAAATTCCAAATCGATCTAGCTGATCTATAAGATATTTACTTATGTATGAGCAGTGTTGGGGAGTAACGGAATACATGTACCGCCGTTACGTATTTAAAATACAAAATATGAGTAACTGTATTCTGTTACAGTTACCGTTTAAAAAGGTGGTATTTAGAATACAGTTACTTTGTTGAAATAAATGGATTACACTGTTTCCCTGTTTCATATTGTGGCGGGTCAGGACTGTTTGGTTTTGTTTGACAGCTACGTTCTGTTGTTCCAGGCGGCAGCGTTACAGTTGCCATGGTTACATGGTGTAAAACATCAACTCCAGTGACATATTTACATCAGGACGCTCTCTCTCTGCGTGTTTCCTGGGTGAGAGAGGCCTTTTTGTTGTTGTTGTTGTGCTAGGCTAATAGGCAGAATGCTACAGGTATAGCTCTAAAGAATGTAGCATCATAGGCAGTGTAGTCCGTGCTGCAGGGAGAATGGACTGCCATACCCGTTATGTGTCTGTGAGCGAGGGAGAAAAAGGAAAAGTCGGAGCTGTCATCGAGCAGAAACGGGAGCTGGGAGCATGTAAATATAATAATAACCACTGCAGCCAAGAAGAGTGCCTGACGAGCCCAGGTGTAAGTACGCTATTAAGACTCGACTGTATGCTGTGTTCGTGTTTTCCTTCGAAACAATAAGTTCCGTTGGAGCAGCCTTTCAACGCCTCTGTCTGTCTCTCGCAAGCAAAGTTGACCCAGACAACAAAGTAAAGCTATTTTTCGGCTACGAGCCGACAGGGACCCCGCCGTATTAGCCAGAGGTCCCTTTACTACAGTTCGGAGACGCGGACCTTCAGTAACAGTAATAAATCACAGCAATAGTACATTCACGTAGTTGTAAGCAGCATGATAATATATTAAGTAATCCAAAGTATTCAGAATACATTAATCTCATCGAGTAACGTAACGGAATACGTTACAGAATACATTTTGGGGCATGTATTTTGTAATCTGTAATGGAATACATTTTAAAAGTAACCTTCCCAACACTGTGTATGAGAAGTAACATGCATGGTGGTATTTTTGACCTGCGGCAGTGACTTCTTCTGAAATGTGGCTAAATAGAAACTAAACTAAATAGAAAAAAAATTCCATTTTGCCAAAGAACTCTTAAGTACAATTGCAACGAGTTAGTTTTCACTTCTGTTAAGTAATAACTTTTTTTTATAACATTCTTGCTGTCTCAGCTTTGTGCTTTCTTGAGATGAATATTTAACATTGTAATCTCTTAAAACAGAAAAGAAATATTTTCTAATTTATTCTAATTAGGTCAGAGTGTTGCATTCTCTTGCATTCATGGTGAAATTTCCCCACTGGCTTTCCTAGGAACCCACCTGTATTGACTTAAGAACATGCACTTTTGTGGACAAGGTATTTCCTGCAGCAGTAGCTTTAATCTCAGTCGGATTTATT